CTCATTCTATTTATTTGGAATTAAGCAACAATTCTACCCCCATAGCGAGGGCACACTGCAGTGCCGCTCTCTGTCGCTAGTCGGCGCACTTTTGAAAGTTAAAACAGTTTCATTCAAGATTCAAGATTTTTATTTGTCACATACATGGTTATATAGAGAATATATGACCAGCAGTGAAATGTAAGTCAGGTCCGCTCCATGGACAGTGCAATTATTAAAGAGTACAAACACAAGAAAAATATATATATAAATATAGGTATGGAAAAAAAAAGATAAAAAAAAAATAAGAATAAAATAAAATGTGCAGGACAGTATACTGTAGACTTAATAAATATTAAGATGAGAGAAGAATGTGCAAACAGGTTGTACAGAGTAGTTCCATAGCAGCAATAGAGTTAAAAAAGTAAGTAAATAAAATATAACAGAGATTGCTGCGTGCAAGTGGCAATGTCAGCATATTAAGTGTCTTACTGATAATTAAGTGAAGTCATGTTGGTGTTAATAGAGAGCCTGATGGCCTGGTGGAAGAAGCTCCTTCTAAGTCTCTCGGTTTTTGCCATCAGGCTGCGTAAGCGCTTACCAGACGGCAGCTAAATGAAAAGACAGTTACCAGGGTGGTTGGAGTCCTTGATGATTTTAACAGCTCTGCATCATTGCACTTGGGATGAAAGCTTATTTATGTTTTATTTTTATATTTAATTGTTTACTAAACACATGGAGCAACCTTAAAGGGATAGTTCACCCAAATTTATCTGCTTACCCCCGGGGCATCCAAGATGTAGGTGACTTTGTTTCTTCAGTAGAACACAAATGATGATTTTTAACTCCAACCGTTGCAGTCTGTCAGTCATATAATGCAAGTGGATGGGAATCACGGCTTTGAGAGTCAAAAAAACATACACAAACAAAACCAAATTAAACCCTGCGGCTCGTGATGACACATTGAGGTCTTAAGACACGAAACGATCAGTCTGTGCAAGAAACTGAACAGTATTTATATCGTTTTTTACCTCTGATACACCGCGTTCTCAACATCCGGCGTGTGACGCGTGTACGTGCTCTGGCACATAGATATATATACATAGATGCCTCATTAGTGACTGTTTCTATGGGCTGTGCTACGTAAGGATCTACGTATATATCTGTGTATATAGCAGAGCACGTACACGCGTCGCACGCCAGATGTTGGACATTGCTGTGTTTTTTTTGACTCTCAAAGCTCTGGGACCCATCCACTTACATTATACGACTGACAGACTGCAACGGTTTGAGTTAAAAATCTTCGTTTGTGTTCAAACAAAGTCAGCTACATCTCGGATGCCCCGGGGGTACGCAGATAAACATCACATTTTCATTTTTGGGTGAACTATCCCTTTAAATATTAATAACCCAGTACAAAATCGCGGAGCACAAAATAAACGAACGAATAACATCAAATCAAAAAGGGAAAGTATTTTAAAAGCAATCTCATCTGAGTATAATGTAATTTCACTCCTGTAGTAGGATGAAAGCTTATTTATTTGTTTGTTTACTAAACAAATATAAGGCACAAATGGATAAACTTATGAATGCATGTATTTATTTATAATTATTTAAATATAATTATTTTTATTTATTTGCAAATGTATTTAATTAATCGTTTACTAAACAAATAAAAGGCACAAATGAATAAGCTTTAAAAATTTTAATTCCCCGAGTATTGCAGAACACAAAATAAATTAATTTTATTTTGAACATTTTTAATAATTCTATAAAACCACGTATTTTCAGGAAAATAATAAGCAGCATAGTTTCCCTTTGTGAAACATTAAATATATTAAACATATACAATGCATATGCACCCAATAATTAAAAAAAGGAACTCATAAAATTACCAGTATGTATGTATGTATAATTATTTCAATATAACATTTATTTTTAAACAAATATAAGGCATGCAATCTGTTATTAATTAACATTAGAATGATTGTGTCTGATGCTGAAGGATCATGCTGTACAAGCACAGATGCACATAACACACAATATGGAGAGTGTGCAATAAATAATGAAACTAGACCACGGCTGTAATGCGCAGCCGCTCCTCCAGTCCTGCAGGGGTCGCTGTGCGCCGCCGCCGCTCATCACGATACCGGCGAGAGCGTGTTAGCTAATGAGGCAGCTTCAACAGGCCTCCGCTCGTTTCTCTGTTAAACTCATCGTCCCGTCGGCTGAGCTCGTGAGTAGCTTTACTCTGCAGATAGTTAGGCGCCAGGGTTCAGGACGCGATCGCTGTGAGAGAGGTTTGCGGCTGTTGTCGTGTTTATTGACCGCTAACAGCTAGCTCTTAGCAACTAGCACACCGCTAAAGCTCACGGCCGCGTCCCAAAGCTGCTGAGGCGCCTCTCTAGACAGCGTCCTGTGGGAATGTGGTGTGGTTTATCTAGGGTGCTGTGAATGCTGCTGTCTATGTAGGCGACGCGGGTTTGAGTATTGTTTTGATCGGTCAGGCTGGTTTATGGTGTGCTTTTGTGCGCTTTACTCTTGTTGTATGGTTTGTTTTTCAATGCTAGTCGTGGTTTATTGCACAAAACGTTTAGTTTTTCCATTTTGTTGGACATTATCACCCTCTTTCTGACCTTTTCAATGAAACAAGCCGGGTTTGTTGTTTTTTTGCTACTACGCGTTTAAATATGTAAATGAGTCGTGTTCTGATTGGATAATCTCTTTCATCTAGGCGAAAAGCCCCGGCTGTTAGATAATGAACAGGTTGTTTAACATAAAATTAGAAGACAGAATTTGCACTGTTTTTAATGTGTAAGCCAGATTAAATATGTATGGAAGCCTATTTGTGCTACAGAATTAATAGAACAAATAGAAAAGTCACACTTTTATATATATTTTTAATAATTTTATAATTAATTTATCTCACCAATTAATTATTTTTCTCTCTCGCAGTTCTGACAGAAGCTTGCAAGAAACAAGAGGTATAAGAAAAGGTATTCAAGAAAAAAGGTCAGAATTGTGAGATGGGGAAACAATTTTTTTTTTTTAATTCTGTGACAAAAACAGAAATGCAAGATGAAAAACTAAATTGTGGGGAGAAGAAAATCCGTGTATCATTCGACCATTCGTTTTTTTAATGTAACATTGAAAGTAGAAAAATGAGAAAACGGCTCCTATTTCGTTTTTTTTTCCAAGAAACGAGAATTCAGCTTAAATTTTCGTTTTTCGTTCATGGGTGGAAAAATGAAAATATTAATAAAATTAAAAATATACATTTTACCGTACGACTATGCATCTCGTGGCGTATATTCCAAGCATTCTGAAGGTATTCTGAGGGTTTGGTGAGAAACAAACCGAAATGGCAAGTTATTATATTTGATGAAAATCTTGCGTTGCAGTGCGAGTGCGCAGCCAGCAGCTCACGCCGCGCACAAGTGCATATCCTTTTGAGATATCATATCAATTATAATCAATTGTAATAAAACACAAGTCTACATTATAAAACTCTAACAGTAGTTGTTCTCTGGTTGTCAGTCAGAATGACAGTTCTTGCGTGAACATAGGCCTATATATACCCAAGCCAATTTATTATTCCTTCCTTTTTGTCTTAGTGTTTAAAATATTTATTTTGAAACAAATTAATTTCTTACTTAAACAAACAGACTTACTGGGTGAGCAGGGTAGGCTAAGACAGCTGATGCAAAGAATAGAATTTATATCTACACAGAAGAAAGCCCTGTCTAGACTCTGCCTGTATAGACTATGCAGGCTCATGAATAACTCAACACATGAGTTGTGTCCAGCTATTCATTAGCCGTGCGCAGCCAGCAGCTCACGCCGCGCACAAGTGCATATCCTTTTGAGATAGCATATCAATTATAATCAATTGTAATAAAACACAAGTCTACATTATAAAACTCTAACAGTAGTTGTTCTCCGGTTGTCAGTCAGAATGACAGTTCTTGCGTGAACATAGGCCTATATATACCCAAGCCAATTTATTATTCCTTCCTTTTTGTCTTAGTGTTTAAAATATTTATTTTGAAACAAATTAATTTCTTACTTAAACAAACAGACTTACTGGGTGAGCAGGGTAGGCTAAGACAGCTGATGCAAAGAATAGAATTTATATCTACACAGAAGAAAGCCCTGTCTAGACTCTGCCTGTATAGACTATGCAGGCTCATGAATAACTCAACACATGAGTTGTGTCCAGCTATTCATTAGCCTGTTTGTTTGATGAAAAAAGATGAAATGTAGTTGCAATAAATGTGTTAAGAATCCATACAACTGCAGCAGCGGAGGACTATTATTCTGCTGCATGATACTGCAGAAGAACTGAAGAAGGCACGGTTTGATCTTCGGCTGACCAATCAGCAGAAAGAGGTGTTTAATTCCCGCCCACATGTAGAAATCGAATATTCAAGCTGTTTATTAATTTCTCCACCCATGAACGAAAAATGAATATTTAAGCTGAATTCTTGATGGGATTGTGATCTAAAAAGTCATAATTATGAAAAAAATCGAAATTGACAGTTGAAATTATGAGATAAAAAGTAATTGAGATAAAAAAGTTGATATTATGACAATCATAATTATAAGATTAAATTGACAGTCATAATTATGAGATAAAAAGATGGAATTATGGCATGAAAATATGAGACAAAGCAAAATTATGACGTACTAAGCAGTAATTGAGTTGAAATTGAGACAAAAGTGGGAATTATGAAATAAAAGTCATCAAGATTAAGTCATAATTATTAGATAAAAAGTTGAAATTATAGCATAAATCAATTCTGAGTTAAAAGTCCTAATTATGAGATTAAAAAAAAGTTTGAATTATGACGTCAAAATTACGAGATAAAAAGTCATAATTATGGCATAGAAAGACACGAGAAGTTAAAATGGACAACAATAGAAATTATGGCATTAAAAGTCATAATTATGAAAAAATGTGTGCTGTCAAAATTAGCGCGTTAACACTAGCTATTTTTTCCAGTTTAACGCGTTAAAAATATTTACCGCAATTAACGCAGGGTTCGCCGCTCCACTCACAACTGCTGCTTCTGTCACTTTTCTCTTGACAAGAAGTGCATTTATTCAGTCGCAGAACGTCTTTACGAATAATAATCGAATATTCAAGCTGTTAATTCATTTGTCTACCCCTGAACGAAAAATGAAAATTTAAGCTGAATTCTTGTTTTTCGTTTTTTGGAGAGAAAAAAAACGAAAAAGGAGCTGTTTTCTAATTTTTCCTACTTTCAATATTTTTTCAGGATTCTTTGATTAATAAAACGTTAAAAAGAAGAGCATTTATTTAAAATAGAAGTCTTTTGTAACAATATACACTACCGGTCAAAAGATTGGAGGCAGTATATATATATATAATTCTAAAAAAAAGAAATTAATACTTTTATTCAGCAAGGATGTGTTAAATTTATAAATAAAGTGATGATAAAGACTTGCGTTGTTAGAATAAGATTTCTATTTTAACTTTATTCATCAAATAGTCCTGAAAAAAGTATCACAGATTCCCCCAAAAAATATGAATCAGCAAAACTGTTTCCAGCATTGATGATAAATCAGCATATTATACTGATTTCTGAAGATCATGTGACACTGAAGACTGGAGGAATGATGCTGAAAATACAGCTGCACATCACAGAAATACATTCTATTTTAAAGTATATTAAAATAGAAAACGAGTATTTTAAATTGCAATAATATTTCACAATTTTTACTGTATTTTTGATCAAATAAATGCAGCCTTGATGAGCAGAAGAGACGACACATTTAAAATCTCACTGATCCCAAACAGCAGTGTGCATGAATCACTTTTAAACAGATAAATAATCTATTGTGGTGTATATTATTTGGTAAATCTGTGACTCTCTGGCTAACTGAACACACACAGGAGTTTCAGGCTCGTCAGCCGGACAGAAAGAGGGAAAACGAGCAGAAATCTGCGGGCAGCAGCGACAGCCAATCAGAAGCCAGCAGCAGCAGAGGTATTTTGAGGTCACATGTCTCTGTCAAACAGTTCCGCATAAACCAAATATATGCAGAAATCATGTAAACGTCGCAAGTCGAATGTTTTCAATAATTCTACAAAACCTTTCGATTATCCGACCGATTATCGGCACCGATATTGAGCTTTTTTTATGGTTATCGGCCATTTTCAAAACCGATTTACTGATAAAATCATTTAAAAGCAAGTTTTTGTCAGAACCCTTGTTATTCTTAATTTTGACATTAATTTTCATGCACTTAATGCATAATGAATTCAATTTCAGTTTAAAACTTCAAATCATATGACTTGATAGATTTATAGTGTTTTTTGCAAATTAACCAATGTGATGCCTGCACACTTTGCATTTGATTCATTTATGCAATGCATTTTCATGCATAACGACTTATAAATTAATCCATATGACTCATGCATATTAAAAATGGGTCTTCTGTATTCATTTATGCAATGCATTTTCATGCACTTAATGCAAAATGACTTGTATTGTTCCATTCATAAAACCAAAAATCTAATGACTTAATGACACATCTATGTTGCTTTTTTGAAATCAGTCTATTAATTAATTCATATGACTCATGCACAGTCAAGATTGTTCAAATTTGATGTTATGCATTCATTTATGCATTGCATTTTCATGCCCTTAATGCATAAGAACTTAAATCATATGACTTGATATATTTATAGTGTTTTTTAGGGAATCAACTTATTGATTAATCCATATGACTCATGCATATTAAAAACTGGTGTTCTGCATTCATTTATTCAATGCATATTCATGCACTTCACATCAAAACACAAATCACAGACTTTCAAAAACAATCATTCTAGTCTTAAAGGATAGATTATAATAGCTTGAAATATTGTATTGCGTCTCTTCAATTACTGTTCCGTTAAATAGGGCTGAAATGTTACATTTGCACTTTGAGCTTATCCACATGTTTAAATTCAATTCATTTTGTATTTTATATTGCATATTTTGTGCACTTTTATTTATTTCACTTGATTTGATTATTTTCAGGTGTATGTAGATTGTATGATTATGCATGCATTACACAGCCTTGCATCTTGAGAAAAGATTCTGCTGGTTTGCAACAAAGGCCTAATATTATCTAATGCCGAGCTCAAAAACAGCAATAAATATTTTCCATCATATACACTTTTTTCGTAAAATAAGAATTAAGATTATATTTTTATATGCATCAGCTGTAATGCGTTTATCCAAATAACAAACGTTTCGATATCAATGACAAAAAGAAGTTTTCAAAATGTATCCTTTAACTTGCAAGCTGCAGAAGAGTGGAAATGTGTTCAAATACCATTGAATGTCAAAAAAATGTACATAAATAGAAGAGTATAAATAAACTTGTCTGTGATTTTCTGTGGCTGTTTGGATGCAGTAGAAGCAGAAAACACCTGGGTCACGTTTGCATTTTCTTCTGTCACTGGACACAAGTCTAACCTTGACATCAGGATTAGACTTAAAATAATGTCATACGTGTTAGGGGTCGACTGATGTGTGTTTCAGGGCCGATACTGATACCGATTATTCCAGACCGATAACCGATATTTTGAACATTCAAAAGTTTAGGATCAGTAAGACTTGTAATGTTTTTTAAAGAAGTCTCTTCTGCTCATCAAGGCTGCATTTATTTGATCAGAAATATGCATATGTGATTTTAATATGCATGAGTCATCTGGATTAATTTATAAGCTGATTCCCAAAACACACCACAGATGTATCATTAAATCATGACCGAAACAAACTGTCAAATTTAAGTCGTTATGCATGAAAATGCATTGCATAAATGAATAAAATGCAAAGTGTGCAGGCATCACATTGGTTAATTTGCAAAAAACACTATAAATCTATCAAGTCATATGATTTGATGTTTTAACAAACTGAAATTGAATTCATTATGCATTAAGTGCATGAAAATGCATTGCACAATTGAATGCATAACATCACATTTGAATATGCATACAGAGTCATACAGATTAATTAATAGATCGATTCCCAAAAAAACACAAAACAATATTTCAAGCTATTATAATCTATCCGAATGATTGTTTTTGAAAGTCTGTGGTTTGTGTTTTGCTGTGAACAGCGGATGAAGCATCCGCTGCAGTCGATCCGGGGAGTCAGGAGTCTTCAGAGCAGCCCGATGAACCAGCGGCCAAGAAACACAAAACACAAGAGTCAGTGACTTTCCATCTGTCTATGTCAGATTGATCCGTGTGCTGCGAGTGTGTTTAAATGCGCTTTGTGTGTTTGTGCAGGTCAGAAGAACCTGTGGAGACCGAATCGGCTCAAAGCGATGAATATAAGAGCCCGGATCCTGCAGGTAGGAAGGGAATATTCTCGGGTTTTTAGCATCTATCACATCTGTCAACTACTAAATAATTTGTCCCTCACTTTGTACAATTTTAAATGCAGTAATGCCATTACAATGGAGGAAGATTAAAACTGGAGGCTTTAAACGCAGAAATGTAAAGCTGGTGTTTTTTTGTTAAGGCACATCAATTTTAACACTAATTCTTCAGTAAAAATGTTATTTGACCTGAAAAATGGTCCTTAGCAGGTATGACAGCGTTGTTTTAGTATTCGTTTTATAATTTTTTTTTACATTTTCATGTTAAAGTTATTTTATTATATTTATTTTATTTCAAGTAACGGAAATGTTTTTCTTATGGTTTTTAACTATAATATATAAATATACATATATATAATATATATAAAATGTAACATTTTAATTTAGCCTGCATTTATTTGATCAGAAATACAGAAAAAGCAGTAAAATTGTGAAATATTTTTACTATTTAAAACAGCTGTTTTCTCTGTGAATCTCTGTTAAAGTGTACTGTATTTCTGTGATGCGCAGCTGTATTTTCAGCATCATTCCTCCAGTCTTCAGTGTCACATGATCTTCAGAAATCAGTATAATATGCTGATCTGCTGCTCGAGAAACATTATTATTATCAATGTTGAAAACAGCCGAGTAGAATTTTTTCAGGTTTTTTTGATGAATAGAAAGTTCAGAAGAAAAGCATTGATCTGAAATAGAAATCTTTTGTAACATTATAAATGTCTTTATCATCACTTTTGATCAATTTAAAGCATCCTTGCTAAATAAAACTATTAATTTCTATCATTCTTTCTCCAAAAAATGACACTGACTCTAAGCTTTTAAATGCTACAAAAAGTATATAATGTTACAAAAAGCGTTTTATTTCAGATAAATGCTGATCTTTGGATCTTTCCATTCATCAAAGAATCCTGAAAAAATTTACTTAACTGTTTTAAATATTATTAATAATAATAATAATAATCAGAAATGTTTCTCGAGCAGCAGATCAGCATATTATACTGATTTCTGAAGATCATGTGACACTGAAGACTGGAGGAATGATGCTGAAAATACAGCTGCGCATCACAGAAATACATTACAGTTTAACAGATACTCACAGAGAAAACAGCTGTTTTAAATAGTAAAAATATTTCACAATTTTACTGCTTTTTCTGTATTTTCTGTATTTTGGTGAGCAGAAGAGAATTCTCTAAAAAACATTACAATTCTTACTGGTCAAAAACTTTTGACTGGTAGAGTGTATGTATGTGTGTGTGTGTATATATTTATATATATATATATAACTGTGTAATAATATCATGCTCTGATTGGTTGTGATCGTCGGCCCGTCTCTGGAAACCATGTTGTGCTTTGAGGTGTAAATACTTTTCTAGATGGATGAGCGTGTGGTTGTGTGTGATTAATGAGGGTGGACTCACTCCGTGTTTCAGAGCTCACTCTGCAGGAGGACGAGCCGCTGGCCGCTGAAGCAGACGAACCAAGTCAAGCGGCCGAGGTTTGTGCCATCCACATGATCCGAGACACTGGTGAAGTAATCCCAGGATGGACTCGAGCTGTGTCTACTCAAGAAGCACTTGAGTTCAAATGCGTCTCGTTTGTTGATCTTCAGCAGGTTGAAAGCATTGAAGCTCTAGATGAAGGCATCAGAGAGGGTCCAGACGCCGCCGCCGCCGCTGGCTCTGATTCGGTCTCGGAGATCAAGGAGACCGCAGACACTCCTGAGGAGCTCGGAGACGCAGCGGCAGAGACCTCCAACAAGTTCTTCTGCTATATTTGCAACATCACTTGCCATAACCAGCAAGTGTGTTCCTCTGAAATCGCTCCGCTTTAATGGTTTGCATGAGCTGATATATGTGACCCTGGAGCACAAAACCAGTCATAAGGGTCCATTTTTTTTGGCCACATCATCTGAAAGCTGAATAAATAAACTTTCCATTGATGGATGGTTTGTTAGGATCGGACAATATTTGAAAATCTGGAATCTGAGGGTGCAAAAAAATCTAAATATTGAGAAAATCATCTTTAAAGTTGTTCAAATGAAATTCTTAGCAATGCATATTACTAATCAAACATTAAGTTTTGATATATTTACGGTAGGACATTTACAAAATATCTTCATGGAACATGATCTTTACTTAATATCCTAATGATTTTTGGCATAAAAGAGAAATGTATAATTGTGACCCATACACTGTATTGTTGGCTATTGCTACAAATATCCCCCAGCGACTCAACACTGCTTTTGTGCTGCAGGCTCACATATTAGCAGCATAACTGGTGTGAGAGTTTTGCACGCAAAATGCACTCGTTGGTTAATCTTGCAATCTGACTAGTGCTTTTGTTCCTCTTGTGCATAAATGTAAAGTTGAAATCTTGCGTGTGCAGAGTTTCCAGAGTCATATGAACGGACTGACGCACCAGCAGAAGATGATGGAGATCCAGCACATGAGCAACGCGTGTCTCGTCACGCTGCTGCCGCGAGTCCAGGAGTCCCTGCAAGGAGCTCGCAGAGACGGGTGAGAGTTTCTGAGGCATTTATGCTTCGCTAGCTTAAGGGAATCAGGCCATCCGAGTTTGTTTCGTCATCAGGTCTGGAGAAATGTAGCTCACTGCAAGTGAATGGGTGCCGTCAGAATGAGAGCTGTTAAAAACATCACAATAATCCACAGCACTCCAGTCTATCAGTTAACATCTGGAGAAGACAAAAGCTGAGACAAATCCAGCATTAAGACCTTTTTAACTCCAATACGAGTCCATAATCTATAATAACGTGAGAAAGTGTTCTGGTCTGAATCAGGAGAGAAATCTGCACAGATCAAGCAGCATTTAAACGGCTCTAAACACATATGTGAGAGACGACAGCAGATGCACTTTTTCACTGGAGGAAGCGTTATTATGGACTCATATTTTAGACATTAAAAATGTCTTAATGCTGGATGTGTTTCAGCTTTTGTTTTCTCCAGATGTTAACTGATGGACTGGAGTGCTGTGATGTTTTCATAAGCTCTCGTTCTGACGGTACCCATTCACTGAAAATGGATTTTTCCGGTTGGTAAAATTTTGGTGCATTACTAGTTAATATTCCAGTTTAATATTCTTTCTATCTTTCCTGAAATGCACACACTTTAAGTTGCATGACTGAAAGTGCACTCTCTCGTGTCGCAGGAATGATTGATGCATCGGTTTGTTTTCGTGCTTCACCTTCTGAACTGTCTGCATTTCAATGCATTTCTGAACGGCGCTCTTGCAGTGAGAAGAGGCCGGGTCTGCAGAGATGGTGCTCCACCTGCCAGACGCACTTCACCACCAACGTCATGGAGCATCGCAGAACCAAGGAGCACAAGGTGAAAGCTCATGACTAGTCTGGATGCATGAAAGCTCCTAACTTAACCTCAAGCTGATGGAAGCCTGTGTTTGTGCAGCGCTGCAGTCGCTCGTCCAGCTCGAGCTGCACCGTCTGTAAGCTGCACTTCCGGACCCCAAGAGAGTTCGTGGAGCACATGCAGTCTCCGGAGCACAAGCGGCGCGTCCAGCAGGTGAGCTTGTGTCATGCAATAACGTTCATGCACGGCGTCTGCAGCATGCAGTTTCCACAGAATCGAATTTTAACTCGTCCTTTAGCTTGTAAAAATTAATAAAAAAAATGAATGTTTGCAGACATGCGCTTACGATCGCAGTCTATAGGACAGGCACGGTAAAAAATGAGTCAAAGATTATTAGAGTATTTTTTACCAGAAAGTACTATTTCAGTATTCACATTTAATTCATTGTTACTTGCCATTTCTTTGTAATTATTTGTGGAATTTCGGAGTTAAAATAGTTTCAATGTAAATCCTACACCAATTCCATTTTCTTTTTAATTTTAGTTAAAGTTTTAGAAGCCTTGTTGTGTGATTTTTGTTTTTATTTTTTTATTTTTTGGTAATTTTTAGTAGTTCAAATTTATGTCTGTATAGTTTTTATTGATTTTTTTTTTTCAGTTTTAGTTATTATAGTATATCAAGTTAAACTAAATTAAAATGAAATATTTTAATTATATTTATTTAATTATTATTATTATTATTTAATAATAATATTTTATTTCAGTTAACATTTATTTTATTTAAAATTAAAAAATGTTTAAGTATTAATTTTAATTTAATTTTTAGCTTTAGTTAACTATAATAACTTGGGTGTAGAATAAATTTAAGAAAAGACATTAAAAATTAAAAAATAAAAATTCTAATTTTCGTTTAGTTTAATTTGAAGTACTAAAATATCTAAAACTCAATAAATCAAAACTGATAAGTAAAACTAAATAAAAACTATACAGATATATTTAAAATAAATATTAGAAATAATAAGAAATAAATATTTTTTAAAAACTCACAAGAAGATCACTAAAACATTAACTAAAATGAAAGTGAAAGCAGAAAATAATATAAAAAAAATGATAATGATTGATTGATGCTGTTGTTGTGTGTGTGTGTGAGCAGCTGTGGAAGGCGTCGGGTGAAGCTGGTGTGGATCAGCTCAACGCTGACATGTTTCTGGGTGAAGAGGACGGCGAATGCAGCGACGACGAGAGAGAGGAAGAGGAGAACGGGAAGGTGAGCGAGTCTCAGTGTTTTCTGCATGTGCAGTGCTGAGCTCTCCTGACTCTCAATTTCAATTCAATTCTCTCTCTCTCTCTCTCTCTCTCTCTC